ATATTTATAAGCTTTTACCGGCCTATCTCGATATAAAATCGCAAATCTCATTTGTAGTACCCATTATTAATATATTATATTTTTGAGTCTCTTATCCTACCGTCCAATAACGGTTAATTATTATGCAATTAATTATTATACGATAACATTGATCGTCATTCGATATATTAATAATTCATTATAAATTCTTACGCGGCATTGCGACAACAAATATACAAAACTATTCTGTAAAGACTTTTTTGCATTATCAGAGGTATTCACCGAGCTGTCAGTAATTAATCCATCAAGCGGAATAAGGATATAATCCAACGCGAATATCAAATTCATCGAACAACGCACGGAATAATATTCGAGCTTAATTAGCACACATTTACATGCTTACTATTTAGCATTTCAACGAGATGCAGTTACATGTAATCCCACGTGTAATCGTAACAACGGTATGTCTAGGAAACGTCTAGGAATCGGAAAAATAAAATATATCGACGATTCCAAAAAAATGTAAAAGTAACAGTTATCTAACATAACAATCGTGTAACTTTGACGCTAATGACGATAAGCTTTCAAAACTTTAATTCGGGATGATTAAAGCGGCAGTTTAATTTCTTTTCGTATTTCTCATTGTAATGATAAAATCAAAGTTAATGTCAAATTTTGTGTTTTAGGAAGATTAAGGGAGAAGGCAGACTAATCACGAACGATACTTGGAACAATTCTTTATCGTTGGGATAAGAGAGTCAGAGAATTATACGAAATTTATGAGAACCAGCGGAAACATTTATTATGAGATACGATACCTTAGCATTTATCAGCGAAGTAATGAGGTGGGAATGCATATTTTTGGTATCTCTCGTTTTGCACATACCAACCGTATCGAAAACGATCCCGTGTAAGGACATCGCGTCGTAAGGAACTACTCGGGCGACGTAACTTATTAAAACTTGGAAAACTTGCGACGTTCGTTAGCATGTGAAATCTGATCGCGCTTTATAATTATAGCTAGGTTATCAGGTTTGGTAAGTAAATAGGTGTTTCGAAAAATTTATTGTTAACAATATTCCGTTTATCGATGTATTCCCTTTATACTCCTAAAATCGCGATATATGCAAATAATCAATTATTTTTGCGATAACTTGAAAAATAGATTGTTAAGTGATATTTATCACTAAAGTTCATTTAAATTAGTCATTAATCACGAACAACGTAATTTATGGTTAGTGATTATAAAATATAAAATATATATTTTTATTTAATATTATCATATTTCCAAATTGTTAAATATTTAAATAACGGAGGAAATGTTTGTGTCACAAAATTATTTAATTTTTTATAAAACATAATTTCAATTTATGATATTTTATAAATCTATACATAAGGATAAAGATGTTAATTTAAAGTTAATTTAAAAATACTATGAATAATATCTCTTTTTTTATATTTTGTTTTCTCAATATGTTTAATAAAATTAAAAAAAGTAAGTTATAAAAAAATAACAGTATTAAATGCATGTAAAAAATTAAGCTTCTTGATTCTATAACTATAAGCTTCTTGATTATAAATATCCTGAAAATTAAAAAAAAAACTGAATTATGAATATTCAGCTTGTATTAACTAATATTAAACATATTAAAAATGCCATCAAGATATCGTTATAAATTAATAATCCTAAAACAATGTTGCATAAAAAGTTTTTTGTTTTGTTTTGTTAAAGGGAAGAATTATTGTGACATGCATAGCGAGGCAAGCAAGATGTATGCGCTTGACGTTAAATTTACCACAACACTCTCTCTATTGTTTGCGAATATTCGGAACTACTACGCTTCCGTCGCTTTATCGAAGGATTACTGAACGTGTTTAGTTGCGGACTCTCTGGATGATGACCAAGTGTCTCGTAGGGTTGATAATGCACGGCTTTGAGTTACGATCGATTATAAAAGCACGAGTCGGCGTAATCCTATTCGACGGCAGAGGACGTCGATATGGAAATTCGATAATATATCCCCCGCGATATTGCACGCTCCGCGATAAAAGTTGCAAAACTCCCGGCACTTCTCTTAAAATCCGGGACTTCATAGTCGCGGTGAAATCTGGTATTTTATGCGATTCGGGATCGTGCTTAGCAGAACGCGGTAGTTAGCTATCGGTAAAAGGAGTCGTGACACCATCGATTTATCGAGTGCCGAATTTCTTTCGTCCAAAACACGACATTCTTTCTGATACCAGGCAATGATAAAGTACAGATGTAACTAGCATACAGACATGCTTTATGATCTTCAAGTTGCATGAGAGATACTTCATACATCTCTTTATGTTTATTGCAACAGAAGCATGCTGATATTTTAACATAAATCTATTCACGTATTATTGAAACTATACGAAATAAATTTATTTAGATAATACCTCTCTCGATTATATAATCTATTTTGCGAAGTAACACACGTATACAGTTGCCTATTGCAATGCTATTTTACATTTCGCGAAACGCAACTATAATTAAAAATTATTGCGCCGAGTTATGGCTCGTCCCTAAAGTAAGATTTGGTGTTCGAGCCGCAGTGCGATATACTATATATATCGGTCTGCAAATTAACTCACTTATTAACTATTCTCGCCACAGGCTCGCGTAGGTGTTTATTTATGTGCCACAATTATTCTGTAATTTGCCTTTGGTTATTCTGTAATTAGCGTTAATAGAGTTTAATGAAAGCTGCAGCTATCCGTTGCAAACTCGTTGCTTCCCGATTAGCCTGAAACCCTGGGTTGCATCCCCCGGAGGTGTAAGCCGCAGCATACGGAGATTCAGTCCTCATATTCGAAACTTGTTGAAGTAATGGCATGTCTTCGCGTGAAACCGTATGCAAACTTTGCATATGCCCATCGCGAATTATTATTCCCAAACTTATGCCTTATGCATCTTGTCATAACGTGTCTCTGTTTTCCTATATTCGTGCAAATACTTGCTTGCAATGAACATGTTAAAATTCTAAAAATACACATTTTTTTTCTAATTTTCCAATCATAATTTTTTTTTTACTATAAATTATATATCTTTTATAAAAAAATTATATAAGGTTAGATCTGAATATTATTTTATTGTATCTTCAAAATTATTATATATTTTGATATTCAAATTGGTTGTTAAAAGATAAAAAATTTTTGCAATATTATTATCATGTTTAAATGTCCTATATAATAAAACAAAATTTTTAAATGCACGATATCTATAAATAAATTTATTATAATTATCTAACAAAAAGAACATATAATTAATAGTATTTTCCAATTTGCTAATATTTTTCTGTCTCCTATGAATTACTATTGAAGGTGCATTTTTTTTAGATAACTTTTCCAAAAGCCTAATTCACTCATGATAAAGACAAACATACAATAAATACGCTGAAAATTATAAATGAAGTGCATGTTTGTAAAGGATGATTTAAACATGTTATATGTTTATACAACATGTTTGCAGTTATATCATCAGAATTGATATTTTCAGTATGTATACTTACTTAATACAGTCAAAATATTTGTTTCTGGTGTACAATTACAAATATTATCAAAATTTAATGTTTTCGACTGTAAAAGTTGAATCAATCTAAGATCGATTAAACCGATTGAATATGCTAAAAATAACTATTTTGATCGGCTAAGTTTAAATCGTTCCTTTCAAACATTCAATCCATCTCATCTACTGACAAAAGTGCAATATGCACGTACATAAAGTTCACAAAATTTGATGAGCGTCGAAGCGTTATTAACAATTACGAGCATCATTAGAATGACGCTTCTGGTATGCACAATTACTACCAACAGAACAGATATTTCTGGAATTTACAATTAATAATACCAGGAGAATGGATACTTCTGATATTTGCAATTACCATAAGAGTCTATTAGCGTTTTCGGTTGTAATGGATTTTGATCGCTTCAAAAGCGATTAATGATATACGATTTGCTTTGGATTACTAGAGCTATATGATCAAACTGATTTACTAATTATTTAAACAATTAAATGCACAATACTTCAGAAAGATATATTAAAAATATAATTATATAAAAATAATTTCACAGTAAAGCTATTAATAATTTAATATTTTATGTTTTCTTTTTACGCATTTTTAATCGAACTTAAATTTATGATACAATCAATCGGTTTAATCGATCTTAGATTGATTCAACTTTTACAATCGAAAACATTAAATTTTGATAATATTTGTAATTGTACACCAGAAACAAATATTTTGACTGTATTAAATAAGTATATATACTGAAAATATCAATTCTGATGACTGCAAACATGTTGTATAAAAGAGATGATTTAAACATATAACATGTTTAAATCATCCCTTACTGAAAATAATTTTATTGTTTCTTCAAAATTATTATGTATGATATTCAAATTGGTTGTTAAAAGATAACAAATTTTTGCAATATTATTATCATGTTTAAATGTCCTATATAATAATTCTGATGTTTTAACAAAAAGTATTTTTATCTATATCTAGTCAAATTTTTTAATTTACCAGTAAAACTATTCTTTATATGTTGATTAAAAATACAAGAAGAAAAAAGATAAAAACTAGCTCTAGAAGGCTAATATTACATTTGTATATATGTACACAAATTAAATCACTTAAAGTAGATATGTAAATATGTGATGAAGAAAAATGAATAAACACAAGAAATGCAAGCAATACGAACGGATGCATTGCAGCTATTTATTTTTTATTAAAAATTCATAATGGTTTTTAATATCGATGAGCTTTATATAGAAAAAAAGTAATTAAAACGATTTAAAAAAGATTACTAAATTTTATATATATTATACAATATTATATGCATATAATTTATATTTATTGATACAATTTACTTGGTTGGTTTTTATTTTTATAGATATAAATATAAATCACAATCACATGCTCTTTCCGGATAAAAAAAGTGATATATGCTGCCATCTTCAGTTACTGCACTTTACTATTTTAAAGCAATCGGTAATCGGTCGATACAGTCACATATTGACACGACTACTTCGCATCATTTCTCTCTGAATCGTACGAGGAGATTGTAAACTGCTTTTGGGATTATTTTTTGCATATTAATCGTGAGGCAACAAACCAAGAAGAATCGAAATTTGCAAAAGGCTTTCTGAGATTAAAAATGGCTACGCTTGAGGATAAGTCTATTTGGGAAGATGGAGAGGTATGCAATTTTGCATTTAACAGGTTATGGCACCGAATGACAAGCATATCTAAGGACATACACATAGATATCTTGCTATGTCTCATAATTAATTTATACATCAGTTAGATTAATACAATTAATATAATTTTTATTTGTTACTTTTCGTTTTTGCTACGTTCTCTTTTAACTATATCCTACTAATTCTTCATAATAAAATTTTATTTTTTCTTCTTTGGTTAATCAAATATAATATATGTTATCAAATATATCTGTTTCATTTAAGTATGGATAGTACAAGGTTGTATTGCATTTATAAAATGCAAAAAATTGAAAATAAATCTCTGTTTATACATTTTTTATTTAGCTCGATAATTATAAAAAAATATATGTATATATAAATTATTTTTCTATATGTATAAATTAAGTTAATCTACTCTCTTAAGGTAACTTGAGTTCTTATTGAATTATTATAATAACATTTAATTATTAATTAACATTTTTCATTTTATACTGACAAACTGAAGAGATACGTTAGTTGAAATCTCATCTCTTGTTTGTTTTATTTTTTCTTTAAACTAGATACCACAAATGCGCTATAGATGTATATTTAAAAAGAATAAAAATTAATATAATATATCATTAATCTTTTGAGACATTCTATATATATATATATATATATATATATATATATATATATATA